TGATTTCAATTGAAACTCATGCTTAAACTGCATGTTAGTTACCAGCTCAAACTAATTTTCAACCAGGTTATCTGGCTTTGATTCTTCAAGATGAATTCCAGACTTCTTAGCAAAAATTACTTGGTGCCACCCTAAACCATTGTGGATTTCCCCCCACTGTATCTTTATATTCTCTATGTCAGACTACAGAACTTTTCCCATTCAATCAACTAGAATGAACTTCTGAAAACTAAACAGTATCAAAAGGAATCCTTTATTGAGATGAGACAATTCATGTAGGGGTAAAAGCAGCGTCTAAGGTCTCGGGCATGCAGAGATAGATAAGGGAGTTTAAAACCCCTCCCCTTATCTTGATGTGTATTTAGTAAAACAAAGAGCCAACATGTTAATTCCCCCATCCCCTTTTTAGAAGGATCTTTTTCAGAGGTTCTCAGGGCACATCTCACTGTGGAATTTTTATGGTCTCTTCATCCCCTGGCTGTATGTTCCAGAAGTGATAGATTTCCAGGCATCTGGTTTTCGTCCCTCCGTTGTATCATGTGTAGGTTATACAAATTCGATATAAGATTAAATATATTCAGGTTACATCAAAAAGGATTTCTTTATCAGTTTCCCTCCTCCCTTTCTTCTTCCATTGAAGAAATGACAGATACACGGATCTGACATCCATCATACAATATACATTTTAGTATTATTTACATCATTTCATTGTTACCTATTTTGTTATCTATAGTATTTTAATTATCCATTGTAAAATTAATTTTATAGAATTATCTATCATTTTAATACATTAATAATTTTATCTTTATCTGATTTAAAATTTAATTTTAAAGTGATTGCTATTTTATTAGTTCTACGCTAGTCTGTTATAAGTAATACGTATGTATTGTGAATTGTGAATATTTTCAGATTACAAATGTATGCTATAAAACTGTGCATTTTAAAGTTTACATTTGCATTTTCCAACCATATTACTACATGCTCCATGTAGTATTAATAATAGTGATAATAATAACATTGTTAAATAACATCTTCCTATTTCAGGTCTTTAGGAAGGACTCGATAGCCAGATAAAAATGCTAAAACCAGTCTAAACATCTTGCTGACTGTGACAAATAATAATCAATTTGTATACCATCTGGCTCTCAATGAATCTGGGTGACTCACAATAAAAAGATCATAATAAACTCAATAAAAAATAAAGTTAAAGATGGCAAAAGATGAAGTAAGACATCTCATTCTCCCTGGCCAAAAGCCTGGGTAAAGAGCCAAGTCTTCACAAGTCTTCTGAACAACAACAGACTAGGGTCACCAGCCTTTCGGATCTCAGGGACCACTAAATTCATAATTTTAAATCCCGCAGACCACTAATATGAGCTGCCTAATGACCGGCTGGATAGGTGGGGCTAGGTGGTCATGTGACTGGGTGGGCATGGCCAACTTGATGTCATGTCGAGGGGGAGTGCCTTTCCAGCCTCTACTCTCCCATCCTCTCCCAGCCACTTCTTGCCTGCCCGCCTGGGCTCCTTAGGGCCCCAACAGGAAGCAGCTGTTGGAGCTAAGCAGCCACCAAAAAAAGTTGGCAAAACAGCTGGCTCAGTTCAAATTGGATCTGACTGAAAAAGAAGCTCAGCAGAAGCACCTCACTGAGGACTACAAGCATAGGCTTTCCAAGCAGAGGGAAGACCTGCCGGAGTACAAGGCCAGGTACCAGCTCAGCAGGCTCAGCAGACTGAGTTGGTCAGCCAGTTCCAGGCCATGATGCAATCCCACTGGAACAAGACCCTCTGTCTCTTCGCCAGTGACATTTCCCTCCAGCCTTCACCCAAAGCCCCGCACCAGGAAGCTGAAGCAGACCCTAAGTCAGAATTTCTGTCCCCCTCTGATCCGCAAAAAAAGACCCCAAAAGGGGAGACTTTCTGCAGCAACACAAATGTTCATTATATGTATCCAGCCCAGGGGCTGTAGTTTGAGGACCCCTGATTTAGTGCAATATAAATAATGCAAATAATTTTTCTTGCGGACCACCAGTGGTCCACGGATCATCAGTTGGTGACTATTGGACTAGGGTGAATCTGAGGGAAAAGCTGTAGTATGTTGTTATAGAGAGATATATTGATATATAGAAGGCACGCTTCTAGGGTCCTAAGAGAGGGCATTGTCAATGTCTATAATTGAAGAACCCTGGAACAGCCAAGCAGGATCAAGTTAGCCAGACAGATATAGGAGACAAGCAATGACTCAAATAACCAAGCCTTATGCCACATAGGGCTTTATAAGTAATAATCAGCATCTTGAATCATACTCAAAACAAATCATGAACTAAGTGTAACTCATAAAGCAGAGTTGTTACATAGGCATATCAAGGCATGCCCATTACTACTTATTCCACTATATTCTGGACTATTTGAAGCCTCCCTGTGTCATGGCAGTCCTGTGCAGATGATATTTTCAGTAATCAAGCTGCAAGATTACTAGGGCATGTCATCAGAATATTTTGAGAGATTTTACAATTTATACTTGGTATAAATCTATATAAATATTTCTAAGCCAATCTATTTTTATAACAGCCCAGCTCCACATAACAGCCCAGCTCCATATTATTCTGTCCACTTAGCCATACCAATTAGATGTGTCTTAAAAAGGAAATATGGAGCCTTAAACAGATACATCTTAGATAATGTATATAATTATCTATCTATTAAAAATAAGAAACCTAATTTCTTACAGGTTTAGAAAATAATCCACTTTGCTCAGTGATTGATTGATTAATTGATTATATATTATCAAGTTGGTATTGACTCTCAGCAACCACAAAGATAGATTTTGTCCATGAAAATTTTCTCCTAACTTGGTGTATCCATCTTCATTGTAACTCAGTCCCTTTATTTTTGTACTTTGCACAACCTGATAATATTACAATGAGTATTCAAGATTGTTCAAGTTAAAGCAGTATCATTACATAATATAATATTGTCCTGTTCTACAAATTGTTTTATTAATGTCTAATAGACTCAAGAATTTCATTCAATGTGGTTTCTCAAATTGCACCAAGTTAACTTTAAGCAATTAAATAGTATAAAAAAGAAGCTGAAATCCACAGTTACCGATTACTGTTTACAAATTTGGACCCATAGTCATATTTTTATGGCTTTTATTAAATTTTATTGTTTAACATTTCCTAAAATCATCTACTTTTAATAGTTACTGTGTTATAAAGCTGTGAGATTTGGCAGCACCGGGCAGCCCCTTTTAAAGCTTCAGTTATGTGATTTTAAGTAAAAGTTATATTAAGTGAGGAATTTGTTGTCACATGCCAAATCCAAATCTTCATATAGATAGAAATTTGTATAGTGCAACTTCTGTTCAGCTGTGTCTTAACAATTCTGCAAATGGATTAATTTGTGTTGGTTTATTGTGTTGGGACTGAGCAAAAACAGTTCATGAAAAACCGATATAAAACTGATTTATATAACAATTAATTTTCTTTATTTTGACATATATGTTATTTAAGCATATTTGGGGAAAGTAGCCATACAATGGTTGGGCAAGATGTATATGTCAAATTCAATTATTTTAATGCTGCACAATGTGATCAAGAATAATAATAAGACTAAACCAGACATAGACAAAGTTTTGGTTATCAAAAGCCAAACAATTGAGAAGGGAGATGTACGGGCCATAGTAGATAGGAAGGTAATGCAAGTAACAAGGCTATTAAATATTATTAAAATATTCTATTTTGCTCCATTTTGAAAGGTGACAAAATGGATGGACTTGTTTGCTTGTTTTAAGCATTAGAGATTTATGGAATATTGTTTTAATGAGTTTTGCCATCTCATAAAATAATGGGCAATTGTGCTAGTTTTTGACAATTACTAATAGAAGGAGTTCCAGTTGCTGCCAAATACAGCTGGGGAAATGCACATGTGAACCTAAGCTTTCCTGGTGCCTATACAGCACCTTAACTGCTAACACACTGATTCTATTTCATATTTCATTTTTTCAGTGTCTATAATTTGCATTGAGGAAGAAGGATTCAATTCAGTTTTTTCAACAGTAGAAGTAGAGTACGTAGCTCACAAATAGTTTCAATCAGGTTTTTGCTTCATTCAGCACAGGATGAAGAGACTCTTTTCTCTTCAAATAGTGCAAATAGTAGGATGAAGAAACAGGTCCAGATTTTAATTGTAGCAGTAAACGTGTTGGACTATTTCCTCACATGTGCCATCCCAATATCCTGATCTGAATTGGGATCCTTCATTAGCTACTTTTTAGTGATAATAATAGTGATAGATTTTAATTGATTAGTCAAAAGACTAATTATTAACCATTTTAAAATAGTTTTAAATTTCATGTCCTTTGCAAGCCATCTCAATATGTCCTAAAATGGTCTCTTAATTAGGGAGCCTTAATTATGAACTTGATAATTCTGCTAATTATATTTATATTACTTCCCAAAGGAGATCAGACAATCTAATCTAATATTTGTGTCCTACTGAACTGTTCTAACTAGTAAATGTAGATACTAGATTCTCACTGAGGCATATTATAGAAATGACAATCAAATAGACATACACAATATTTTCAATAAATGTGAACTTTCCTTTAAAAAAAATAATATTAAATGTTTTTTTTTAAAGTGAAAATAATCTAAAAAAGGAAAAGCAAGAAAACAAAGAAAAAGCTAAAAATGCAAAAAAAATTTACAAAGAAGTGGCCTCTGCTCCTTCTTTACAGCATTTACAAGTACAATTATAAATATACCTCTTTATCCAAGGTAACTTCATACCTGTTCTCTTTATATACTTATCCTGTCTAATCACCAAAATCATGAATCATATTGGAACAGAATATGGAATGATGCTTTTGTTTTCATTGACTTCAAAACATAATTTATGGCAATATTGATGAAACAACTATATTTTCTTCCTTCTATTTATAAACAGATGATGTTTGTATAATTTTTCTAATGTTTATGTCTTATGATTTCCTTTCAGCAAATCAAATTGGCTGCAGAGTCTCTAAAAGAATCCTAGGATGATAAACTGAACAGTTGCAGAAATGTATTCCATGCTCTATTCAATACATTATTAAGAACAAGAAATACAGTGTACTTTCATATGATTTCAAACTGTGATATTAAGGATTTTATCTTTATTCATCATAAAAATTTCAATGTAATTGTTTGGCATAGTACAATATACTTGATAGAAACTGATTAAAGACATTCTTAAATTTTGTTAGAACTCATAATCATTACTTTGCTTTGCATTTTTTAAAGATACATGCTAATTTAGTAAGCATAACCATAAATATGAACATATTCATATTCCTGTGGCATCTTCAGGTTAATATTTTGTCACTTTTTGTAGAAGGCTTACTGTACACTCTGCAATGAAGAAGGAAGTAATGTGTCAAAATATGTACTGTAAAATATATGCTGTTTTAACTTGAATGATTATTCTTCATTAAAATTATTAATTTCAAAGAACTGGAAAATATTTGATTTGGCAGAAAACTCAGTTAATTTGATTCATTCCCAAGATACACCCTGCTTATATAATCTTTTTACTCAGCATTCATTTTCCTAGTTCAGTAAAAATAGGCTGTGGTAAAGAATAATTTAATCTACCAGCAGATTTATATTAAATGGTTTGTTATACTTTTCATTTTCCTCTTGTGTGTACTGAAGCAGTTGTTTGTCCCAAATTCTTTTTTTTTAGAGTAAATTTTAAACAATGGTAGTCTTTATGGCCAACATTTCTATCCATAGCATTATGATATGGCAAATAATTGAAACAGAACTTCCTTTTTGATAAAATATTTTTCAGACAAATTGAAGGTCATTAATTGACATTTCCTTCCATCTCTGGTAAGATGCATTACAAGAACTCATCAGGTTATGGCCATTCATTCAGTGATTATTTAAAGTTATGACAAAAAGACTTAAGAAGGGCACTCAAAGTTCTGGCTACTGTAGCACTCCTGTCATCACATGAACACAATTTGAGCACTTAGCAACCAGCTCTCATTTATGACCAGTTGCAAAGTTCCTTCATCATGTGATTGCAATTGCATATGTTCCTTGGGAAGTCTTCCCGCCTCCTGGCTTTACCACACTTGCATATACATGCCCTCCTTCCTCCTTCACTTACATGGACACTATGCCTCCCTACATTTGCCCTGTTTTCCTGGTCCCCCTGCACTAACATACACACACTTTGTGCCCTTTCCCCCTGCATTTGCAAAAACACACCACGTGCCTTTTCCTTGGCATTCCTGGAGCTGCACACATGCAGATACACCAGGTTCACTTTTCTTGCCTCCCTGTACTTCCATGCATATACTCACTCCATGCCCCTCTCATCAGACTCTGCATAGCACACACACCCTGGCACTTTTTTTTATCAGACTTCCTATGTTCACATTACATGGCACCCATCCACCCTAACTATGAACTTCCTCCAATTTCCTGCAATACTTTTACATTCTTTACATGATATTTTTTCCTCTTTCCACCTAATGACCTGCATGTCTGGCATTGTAACACCTAGGATTATCTGGATTGTTTCTGCTTAACAATGCAGACATGATAATGATAATGACCATATCTCTTAGTGGTGGCAAATCTGATTCCAATTGCTGTCATAAGGACTAACTGTATTAATAATGAAGTCCAGTATAAATATCAATTTATCCAACTCAACTCCTGCATTAGACATTGTTTTCTTAATGTGGAAAAGAGGTTGCATATTTGTTTAAATTTTGTATTAAGTTTCCAGAAAATCCTGTATGGATTTATCCATACAGTCACTCAGAGTCAAGATTGAAACAAAACTTACATTAACTTTTAAAGTTAAAGAGAAATAAGCTGGTGGGTAAGCATCCTGCATTTTAAAAAGATTACATGTGGAAAAACTCCCAATACCATGAGCTTCATTAAGACCATATTACTGTGAGTTTCAATTATTTTTATGGTAAGATTACTGAAAATACCATCAACATCTTACACTGCAAGATGCTTGCATCAATTTTAGTTGATTCCCATTCCCTACCTCAGGATTGGTCTTCTGTTACATTTGTCTTCAAAGAATAAAATAGGTTCCCATACGTTTGGAAATAGGTATATTCCAAAAACAATACAAATAGAATTGTGGTTTTATTTTTTGCATTTTATATTATAATTTATTTATTTTTTCAAATTATATTTAATTTGAATACATACATTCCACCATGCATCTCAAAGATACTTTTTTCAAAAGACTTTGATTTTCCTTGAAGACGTTTAGCTTCTCATACAAAAAGCTTCTTCAGTTCTGATTGAATGGTAGAAGATGAAAGGATTTATATTCCATCCTTCACCATTTGGTTAAAACTAAAGAATCTTCTTGGATGAGAATCAAAACATCTTCAAGGAAAACAAAGTCCAGTTGCCTTTTGAAAACGCACCTTTGGAACAACCATGATCTGGATGACTGAGCATCTCCAGACATTTTGCCAGGTGGCTTCTTTCAAATACACATCAATTATATACATTGAAGGGTTGTATTTCCATTCCTCTAGTTTACACTGTGCTCATCTTCAAGACATGCTGGACTATGTACTTCCACAAAGTAGTTCTTCTTGACTATCTTCAATCTATAGTTAAAATTAGATGGAGAGGATTTGATTCAATTATTCAATATTATGCAATGTTCTCTGGCAGGTATTCTTTCCCTACATTGTTTTTAAATATTATTTTTTTCATGCAGCAAGTTAATACAAATTGGAGGTGTAGGGAAACTACAGCATAGGAAACATACTAATTACATTTTCTAATTTATCTTAATTTCAAGTCCTGTTCCTGTCTAATTTTTTTTTCATAGTTTGGATTTTATGGTATAAATAGCCTTTTTCAACATTATGGCAATTATAATCACACTTACCTTTACAGCAAAAATCCAAATAATGGCTAGGTGGCAATAACAAAATACAACAAAATGAATATTTTTCTGCTAATTTTTTGAAGTCAAAATGTGGCAATTTTATGTGGAAAGAATCACAGAATAAATATATTGCATTTTTATAGATCACCGTGAAAAATTGAAAACTTATTTCAACATTTACATGTATGATTTCTAAATCTAAATCTGACCCATGACTGTTGTGCAAGGTTTGCCATCAACCATATTGTGAAGTATGCCGATGATACAAAAGTAGTGAGTCTTATTCAAGATGAGAATGAGGATGCTTAACACAAGGAGGTAGAGGGTTTGGTGAACTGGTGTAATAAAAACAGCTTGTTTTCAACGTTGAAAAAACTAAAGAGATCATAACAATGGAACAACTTGCCTCCACAAGTTGCTCCAACACTGAAAGTTTTTAAAGAGATTGGACAACCATTTGTCTGAAATGGTATAAGGTTTCCTGCCTGAGCAGGGGGTTGGACTCAGTCCCTTCCAACTCTATTGTTATTCTATTGTCAATTTCAAAAAGGGCAGGCACAGCCACAATCCTCTGTATAAATGATTCACCTGTGGAGATAGCATCAAATTTCTGGGTGTGAAGTTAATGAGTAGGGTGTCTTGGTCGCTCATAAGCAAGATAATGGTGAAGTGAGCACAGCAGCGCCTGCATTTTCTGCATTGCATGAGAAAAGTACATCTTCCATCCCCATCCTTACCACTTTCTATAAAGGGACAATCGAGAGCCTCCTGTTATATTAGTCTGTTTGGAAGAATTACTGCTTCGGACAGGAAGGCAGTGCAGAGTGGTGAGGATGGCAGAAAAGATTGGCAATTCACTCCTACCCAGGATATAAGCAATGCTTGAGCAGGGTCCACAGGATTGTCTGGGACGCGACGCATCCTCTTCATGACCTGCTTTCCAAGATATCTTCTGGGAGGAGGCTTTTTGGTATCTGAAGCAGAACATCCATATCCAGCCAGTTTTGTTCGCACATAGCATCAACCTAGTGAACTCTCAAGTTTCCCCTTTCCACTATGTTATTCAAGATGGAAAGTGGTTAATATTTATATGTATTGATATGTTAGGGTATAGGTATATACATACATATGTATATAGCATATCTAAATATTATGTATACACTTTTGATAGCAGGCAACATTTCATTTTTAATGTGTGCCAGAATGCCCACAGAAAAAAAACATCAATAAAGGTTATGTTAACCTTATTGTCAATAGACTTATTTTCTATTTTCCACTTTAGATATCAAACTAGAACATGAAGCTTGTGATGCAAGTATATATACAAGTATATTGTTGTACTTACAGAAGAAACATGTTAAAGGGGGAGGGAAATGGTACTAAGCTTATAAAGAATTTCACAGCACATGTGCATACCTTAAAGATTAAATAGAAATCGAATGAGTACATCCTGACAGTTTAACACATCTAAAATGTACAAAATATTAGCTCAAAAAAGGAAACCCATCAGATAATTGATTGAATTATGCCAAGCATATTATAGATTTATGACACTCCCATTTTAGATTTAATAAATCTAGTAAAATAGGTCAAACTTCCTAGCATACAGGAAATTTAATTGCATAGTATTAGAAATAGTTTTCTGATGTTGTCGGTCTGTAAAGGTGTGAATTGTATAAGACTTCAAGTAACACAGGACTACAGTCATATTGTAAAATAAAATCAATGTAGCTATCTGTAAACATCATTTGTATATAATTCTGTTACTTCTCAGTGAATAATTGGAATTGGGGAAAATATTCTTATATAAAATATTGCCCCCCCCCCTTTCAGTCATGTCAAATTCTTTCAGGCTGCCTGGATAAATCCCTGTAGCTTTTATTAGTAAAGTTTTTCAGAAGTGATCTGCCATTGCTTCCTTAGGGTGGAGATAAAGTTACTAGCCTAAGATCACCTAGCTGCTTTGTGCCTAAAGCAGACTACAACGTGGTTTCCTCCCAGTACCTTGGAAATTGGATCTCAAAATGTAAATAGATATTGATATGAAGCAGGTTAAGGAAGTTAATTGTAGTTAACCATTAGAACTTAAATCCTGAAATTAAATGCTTCATTTTAAGTAAAATAAAATGATCATCCCAGATAATTATTTAAATCTTATTTGTTGCTGAAAATGATTTCTGCATATTTCATACCACAAATCCTATGAAATAAAATAGGGACATCGTGGTGGTGGTAAATTTGGGCAAAGCTCAGTGTTAACAGCAGGAATTACTTAAATTTAAGTACATAGTTACAGCACAATAAGCGCTAATGGCATCAGTGTTGAATACATTTCCTGTACAAATAACAGAGTTGGTGAAGTTGTTACTAGAAATACAAGTTAAATTATCACATTATCTCAGATATTTCTCTTTGTAGTTTCAAATTACATAACAGGAAAGATCCGTTTACTGTCATAATGAACTAGCTTTCAGAA